ATTCTGGAGGCTCAGTCCTTGCGCTTCAGGGGCGGTCGGGTAGCCTAGTGGTTAAAGCGTTCGCTCGTCACGCCGAAGACCCGGGTTCGAATCCCGACATGGGTTCAATGTGTGAAGCCCATTTCTGGTGTTCCCCGCCGTGATATTGCTGGAATATTGCTAAAAGCGGCGTAAAACCAAACTCACTCACTCACTCACTCACTCACTCACTCACTCACCCTGCGCTTCAGGTTGATTTTGACGGAAAGGGTGAGACAGGGACACAAATGGAGGATTTTATGAGCGCCTCACTAAACGTAAACGCCGCCAGGGCAGCGAGCATTGTGCAGGCACACAGGATGCATGCACGCTGAGTGAGTGAGTGTGGTTTTACGCCGCATTTAGCAATATTCCAGCAATATCACGGCTGGGGACACCCGAAATGGAATCACACATCGTACCAATATGGGGAATCGAACCCGGGTCTTCGGCTAGACGAACGCTTTAACCACTAGGCTACCCGACCGCCCCCAGTTGGAACAGACCTGTGATTGCCAAAGGTACCTTCTTTAATGATAAATCTGAAATATTGGAGGCTGGACAAGTTTAAAAGGTAATGAACAATTAAGAGTGTCTGGGGATTTTACTGAGCGAGTGCCACAGGTTAGATCGTAGTTTAGTACCTCCCCTATATGAGTGAGTGGGTTGGTTTTAACGCCGCTTTTAACAGTATTCCAGTTATATCACGGCGTGTCAGCATAATGTGGGAGGAAAGCCCGAAGTGATGCAGGTCTCAGACGTTTACCACTTCGGTGAAACCCACGAGCACGGGTATGGTGCTGACAAACCTAGAAACATAATCGGGGCAAACCGGGATTCGAACCCACTATCATAGATTTCTGGCGTGCCCAAGGGACGCAACTCTGCACAGCGAATCGCGGCGCCTTAGACGACTGGGCCACCCGTGCCCCCCTCTCCTATATGTGCTATGACAAGTTGATTACAGATGGTACGGCGTTCGAGTATGACCATGAAGTCTCTGACACTCGACAGGTTGGAAGACGTCGCAACTGGGCCACCTCAAGCCTCGTGACTGACGAGTCACCAGCTCAAGCAACTCAGTCATCAAGATAGGGGTGTGGCTTTGTTCCAACCGAAACTAAATCTAGCGCCACTGATTAAATAGTCGCAAACAGTAATTCTACACAAACTGGTGTGTATGTGAACTCCACCCTGAATTACAAAAACGAGTTTACACATGTATTACATTTGACACCCTGATTCTGCACATCGGCGCGTGAATGTGTTGGTACACGTATCATTATCTCACCTTACATTAAACTGCTAGCTTCTGATTGTATTAGGAGCAGGTAATTTATTCCCACGTACCCGGCTGATAAATCAATCGGAACACACTTTAGGTAACTTGTTTATCTCGCGTAAGTATCGTTGAGCTGATCCGAATGCATTGTGTAAAGGGAAGTAACTTGGTATTTTTCTCATCTGCCAGCTGTCAAAATGGCCGAACGAAAGCTTTTTACTCGAAACTCGACATATATTCCGGGTCTGTAATTGAATGTCGGTGAGATAAATCCCTTGTCAACCGATCTCTAGGTTATCAAGCTGGGGTGTATAATGTATAAATGATAAAATCCAGCTGGATAATGGTGTAAGAATCTACATGGAAACGTCGCCATTTGCAATAAACCAGAATTTGTTATCCATAAAGCTGTACGTTACCTCACAGAAACTCAAATCCGCCGTCCGCTTTGATTATCAGATATCAAGGGAATCGCATCCCGTCTGGCCCGTGAGATCCGGGATAGACTAGGTCTTCAGCAACCGTTGCTTGCCGTAAAAGGCGACTATGCTTGTCTTAAGACGCGACTAACGGGATCGGGTGGTCAGGCTCGCTGACTTGGTTGATGCATGTCATAGATCCCAATTGCATGGATCGATGCTCGTGTTGTCAATCACTGGATTGTCAGGTCCAGACTCGATTATTTACAGACCGCCGTCACATAGCTGGAATATTGCTGAGTGTGGCGTTAAACAACAAGTCGATGTTACGGCAAGCATGGGTTGCTGAAGACGTATTCTACCCCGGATCTTCACGGGTAATATGAATTATTGATACATGCGAGCCTAAATATGCCGGGAGGCAACTCGCCTACTGTAGGGTAACACAAGCGACAGCAGGCGTATTGTACAATGGTGTTTATCGTACATAGAAATATTGTTCATTCTTCCCCGCCGGAAATATAAAAGAACGTTAATTTTATAGCACGTTTGTCGACATGTTGGTTTATTTGAAATGTCAATCCACGCACTTACCGAAACGAAACATACAAATCATATGCGTGAAATGTTGATGCTGTTCTTTTCCAGCAATAAGAGATACTTCAAAATCGTCTTGCTATTGTGAGACTTAGTCACGTTTTGTAACGCAGATAACCCATGGAATTTGTTCCTTTTGTTTTTAAAAGAGCTTAATATGTTAAGGGGAAATATATATCTCATTTCGCTAAAGTTAACCGGTCTATATTTTGTAAGAATAAACTATTGCGCATTGAGCGATTATCTCCTTTGGCTGTAGGCCTAGTTTAGAGCTATATCATGCACTGACCTTGGAATGTTGTACATCGTATCTTATTCAAGCTGTATCACTGAGAGCTAGTGATTATCTCCCTTACCCGAACAGCTCTTTTGCGCATGATCTTTTCAGGCAACCATCAAGATGTTCCAGGGAGGAATTTAGGTCAAGCATGTAAAGCGCACTCAATCTTTCTCCCTTCACACTGCTATTGCAACTTATTGTTCAACACGATTAAATACCAGGCTTCTTTGAAGTATGACTTTGTTCACTAAACAACACTACTAACACAACGGGTTTGATATGAGAAATTTGTATTTGTCACAAGTATGGTGCTTGCTGTGCATAGTTTAGCACTGTAATGTTACTGTATGTAATGTATGATTCATACCGTTTCAAACGGCGGTTTAAAGTTCTGCATGGTTTATTGCTTTGCCAGTTTTTTTAACTTCCGGCAAAGATTATACACCCGTATATGTTCTTTACTTCTGTTTACATAGGAAATCAACAGGTTGGTCCGTAGTTTGCAATTATTGTCCTGAAAAGATAATACGGTTGCATGATATATTCACGATGTTTGGGTTGAACAGAGTACCATTCTTCTAAACATACTTCAAATCTAAACCGGAAGTAATTACAACACAAACCCGGTTCACCAAACGGAACCTACACAAGAGTGAGTGGGGGATTTGGGCTTAACGCCGTTTTGAATAGTATTCCGTGTGGATGTGGGGGGAAAGCCCGAAGTGATGCAGATCTTAGCCGTTCACCACTTTGATGAAACCCACGAGCACGTGTTTTGTGCTGACAAGAAAACCGGGGCGAACCGGGATTCAAACACACTGTCATAGGTTTCTTGCGTGCCCAAGGGACACAACTCTGCATAGCGAATTGCAGCGACTAAGACGATTGGGCCAACCATGCCCCCGTACAAAACTGTAAGAAACTATCATACAACAAAGATGTTTGAGATGAGGTATGTAATGCGTAACATTCCATGAAGAAACAGTGGCGATATAACACTGTAACAAACTACAAAATATATACACAATACGTGACGATTATAATACACAGGTATATTCAAGCATACAAAGAAGGTACATTATAACAATTTTATTTAGTGTATTATAATGATATGGAAACAATATGAGAATCGAGCAAAACTATGGTAATGTTGTACATACAAAGAATTTGTTTGTAATTGTTGATATGATAACATCTTGGAAGTTGTCTCTGGATAACTGTTGGTAAAATTATTAAGAAATTTTCCCTTAAACAGAGTGTACCAAATTCTTTATCATGTTTGAGGATAATTTGTGATTCTCTTTCTTGGTTGTATAATACAAGACAGCGCGTAATGTTGCTCATCTTCTGAGTGAGTGAGTGAGTGAGTGTGGTTTTACGCCGCTTTTAGCAATATTCCAGCAATATCACGGCGGGGGACACCAGAAATGGGCTTCACACATTGTACCCATGTCGGGAATCGAACCCGGGTCTTCGGCGTGAGCTCATCTTCTGAGACATCACATGTTTCACAGAGACGTTCTTCCAGTGGGATTGGGGGGCACGGGTAGCCCAGTCGTCTGAGGCGCCGCGATTCGCTGTGCAGAGTTGCGTTCCTTGGGCACGCCAGAAACCTATGATTGTGGGTTCGAATCCCGGTTCGCCCCGATTATGTTTCTAGGTTTGTCAGCACCATACCCGTGCTCGTGGGTTTCACAGAAGTGGTAAACGTCTGAGACCTGCACCACTTCGGTCTTTCCTCCCACATTAAGCTGACACGCCGCGATATAACTGGAATACTGTTAAAAGCGGCGTTAAACCCAACTCACTCACTCCAGTGTGGTTGGTGTTTTTGTATATCTACCAGTTTAAATTTTTAGTTTGTGATTACTTACACGAAGTTTTGAGAAATGTGACCTCTGACCTTTGTTTTTACAATAATTTATTGTATTTACTATTTAAAAAGTTTGTTTTATTTAACCCAACCAACATTCTGACCAGAAATATTGATATTTGTGCCACAGCATGTTTAAGAATGACATTTGTTGTGTTATTTATTCTGGACTTGTAATCAATTTTTTTTTATATTATTGGTACTAATAGTGGGTATTTATCAAGTTCTGCTTGACAGGCCCAGTTTTCTTGCGTTGGTTTTTCTTGTTCTGACCATTGAAAGACACTGTGTCTTTAATGTGCTTTCCAAAGATAACTACATTCATAACAACCAATTTGTACTTTACACCAATTCTCACCTCCCATAGCTTACACTTCCTTTGGGGCGGTCGGGTAGCCTAGTGGTTAAAGCGTTCGCTCGTCACGCCGAAGACCCGGGTTCGATTCCCGACATGGGTACAAAGCCCATTTGTGGTGTCCCCCGCCGTGATATTGCTGGAATATTGCTGAAAGCGGCGTAAAACTTCACTCACTCACTTACACTTCCTTTCTCCGAATATTACATTACATGACGGGGAACAATTGATGCTCTGCAGTAGTTTCTACTTGTATAAATTGTAGTGGACGAGAGGAATGCTGGTGTAAGGGAGGTAACTCTGGTGCTTGCTGTTCAGGAAGTGACTGCAACTAAGATGGCGCGTGTTTGGAATCAATGGATTTACCCTATAACTCGCTTTACTAAGTCTAATTCTACAGTGATGTTTATAGATGAATACAACGCAGTCTGACATGACTAATTATTTCATATTGTTGAGTGGAGGACCAGCTTTATCAAGTACATGTGCACCTGTGTGGTAGATAAGATACTCCAACTCCAATTGTTTTTTGCCGCCAACGTAATGGAATGAGATGGGGTGGTCACTCATGCTACTGATGCCCTGAAATAAAAAGTGAAATAAAAATAATGACTGCCGATCCTTCCCCAGATTGTAACCACGTGATCAAAACAAGGTGATGATGATTTTTTGCTGTCCCAAACCGTAAGAATACTGGAAGATTGCCAAACGCAGCCTGATACCTCTCTCATGCAATCACTTTGGTAACTGTCCATGATTAGTTTGTTTTGTTTGTTTGTTGTTTAACGTCGCACTCAGCAATATCCCAGCTATATGACGGCGGTCTATAAATAATCGAGTCTGGACCAGACAATCCAGTGATTGATATCATGAGCATCGATCCACGCAATTGGGATCGATGACATGCATCAACCAAGTCAGCGAGCCTGACCACCCGAACCCGTTAGTCGCCTTTTACGACAAGAATATTCAGCTTTTTACGGCAAGCATGGGTTGCTGAGTAACTGCCTTGAAGATTCTGGGTTAGAATTGGTCTTCAGCACCCCATACTTGTTTAACATGAATACCCCACTCAGACACAGTATACTGACTCCGAGCCGACCAGTCCTTGTTTTAGGCCCTTAATGCCGAGCGCCAGACAGGGTAACAACAAGTACCATCTTTTAGCGTCTTTTGGTATGACGCGGCCGGGGATCGAACCCCGGACCTTCCGCTCTCCGGGCGGACGCTCTACCACTAGACCACGGAGGCGGTCTCGACATGAAAAGAAGTAATGACCATGGGAACTGTTCCAATTTGTATGTGCATTATGAGGGTAGAACGACTCAAATAATTACCTTTTTAGCTCCATTTGCGTCATAAGAATAGTACCAATTTGGATAACCCCCATTAATGTGAGCTGATGGATTCAAACAGTGGAAACGACTCCTGCCTTTGGAATCAGTAGAGTTGCCAATGGGTACTCCAAGGGATTCCATACACTGACCAAAAGCAACATCACCCGCCGTGCCAGTTTGACGACATATTTTGGGGTCATGTCCATGTTGACCAAACCTTCTCAGGGCCTCTTTGCTGACGACCAATCCGGATCCGCCACTCGAGTACCCTTGTTTGATAAGTGTCTTAAAGTGATGGCCGAAATATATGGGTTTGTTTGTATCGAATTGTGCCAGGAAGAGGCGAAGGTTTTCTGCAATGAGGTAAGTATCGTCATCAGCTTTAAAGAACCAATCACAGTCATCCAAGTGATGTTCATAGACATAGTGGTATCCACCAAGGGTCTTTTCGGTCAGATGATTTCGGCCTTCCGAAACCTTAATTCCGACAGTTGGGAAAGTGGTGTTCGTTTCTGAGCTGATGAACACCACTCTGTCGCAACGTTTACCCCACGTCATCTGGATATATCTCGATCTGCTTTCTAGGTTTTTAGGGTTTGTCATAATCCAGCAGGATATTCGAAGGGGAGGCGCCTCATTTACATCATCTGAAATACAATGAGGTGAGGATATACGATTTGTAAGGGAAAGGACTGTCCCCATGATGTGCACCATGATGTGCACCATATGCATGATATGCACCATGATATGCAACATGATATGCAACATGATATGCATAATGTAAGATGAATGCATGATATGCATATTAATGTATGCATAGAGAAAGAGTGGTTAAAGCGTTTGTGCGTCACGTCGAAGACCCGGGTTCGATTCCCAACATGGGTACAATGTGTGAAGCCCATTTCTGGTGCCCCCCGCCATGATATTGCCAGAATATTGCTAAAAGCGGCGTAAAACCACACTCACTCACTCACATGGATGAGAATTTTAGACTTCGTTCATTTCCAAAATGGCGTGCTTGGTTTTTGGTTTGGTTGATATGACGGCGGTCTGTAAATAATCGAGTCTGGACCAGACATTCCAGTGATTGATATCATGAGCATGGATCCACGCAATTGGGATCGATGACATGCATCAACCAAATCAGCGAGTCTGACTACCCGATCCCGTTAGTCGACTTTTACGACAAGCATAGTCGCCTTTTACGGAGCATGGGTTGCTGAAGACCTATTCTACCCCGTAATCTTCACAGGTCTATTCTACTCCGGATCTTCACGGGTCGACATTTTTAAAGGTCAAAATACAAGTAGGTCGCGTTGTCGACCGATATAAACTGTGAATGAAAAGGCATTTAATTACGATATGCGTGATGATACGACATGTTGATCAAGTCACATTGTCGATTTGTCACGCCGTTACTCTTTTTGATTGATGGAGCGCATGTGTAGAATTAATCTACGCAAGCGCAGAAATGGCTAAACTACGTTTCAAACTTAAGTAATCTTTAGTTAGCTCCAATGGTTCTTAGTACCAATGGCAGTGTGGGTTTTATTTTCTCCAAATTAAGACACATCTTTTATCGTTGCTTCTATATGTATTATAAAAACCAAACGTGTTTTCACAGAGAGAAAAAAACCTCTTGAACACGTCCCATTTTAATTCTTGAAACCGCATAGTCCAGAAACTCTACGGTGTTCGCCCAGTCACGGTCAAAGGTATGTACAAAATTAAACATGCTGTTTTCATGGGAACATACTAAGGAAGAAAAAAAGAAAAATAAATTGTTCAAAAACTCAATATGTACACTTTGTTGCCCATGCATGGGCGAGAATATTTTCCTTCGCTCAAAACTCATGTTTCTCTTTCGCAAACACATATAGGTGTTCTTACAAGTTTCATGACACATAATGTAACTCATTTTAGCTTAATTCAACTATTCCATAGCGTTAATGAATTATTTCGCCAATGGGCGAGAATATTTTCCTTTGCTCAAAACTCGTGTTTTTGTTTCGCAAATACATAAAGGTGTTCTGAGAAGTTTCATGAAATGTAATTTCCCTCATTTTAACTTAATTCAACTATTTTATGGCCTTTTAGAAATATTTCGTCCCATGGGCGAGAATATTTTCCTTTGCTCAACAGTTTTAGTTTCGCAAGTACATAAAGGTGTCTCTACAAGCATGAGACATGATTCAACTCATTTTAACTTAATTCAACTAATTTGTGGCGTTATCGAAATATTTCGCCCATTTTTTCGTCAGTCCCTTTAAAGCATTAACTAATTGTGTGCAAAGTATATTGTATCATGTGAAATATACTTTATATTATATCATTACATTACTATTTAAAAAGGGCATTTGGTTGGATGTTTCCTTTATAGAAGTTTCACAAATTTCACCTTTTTTACATATTGTAACGATCTTTATTGAACCCAGCCTCACCTCTCAAAACGTTTTGAAAGTTTATCATACGATTTCATGCACGTGTACTCCAATTCATTGGCGTTATTTTCCACAACTTTAAAGTTTAGTTAGTTTCTTTTTCATTTCCTATTTAATCTCTCGTTGTTACATCACACTGGGAAATTAAGTGACACTAGTTATGCACGTGCGCGTATTTTAATAGAAAAAACCCGATTCGTCTTTCATTGCATAAGCTGGTTGAATATCTCACATTCTAACGATATCTCGAAATAATTACATAATTATATGCGGTGTCGAACTGACCAATGGGAATTATGTTTGAAGGCGATTGAGGAAAGCTTGAGTGAATATTGTGACACGACATCAACTTTTAAACGCATTGCCACTTTTGGTATGAAAAATGGGAACAGGTCAGAAAACAACAGCCTTCTTATGATAATTCCCATATTCTGCGTTTGATCTGTGTCGGGTTGCAGGTGTTTTATTAGGCAAGACCAGGAGTAGTTTTTTCAATGAAACAATGAGTTTGTTTTGCATTAATTTCATTGAATACGTTGTTAGGAGAAAAATAATACGTTATATTGATTAAACATCTCCCTAACCTGAGTATAATCTCACATGTACTATAAGTACCGTACTATACTACTTTGAGGAGACATTGAGTATCACTGTTGAGTTGGCATTGTATGCTGTCGGAATGACTTTACACAAATCCCTGCGTCAATGGACCAGTGAAGGTCCGGTGTAGAACAGATCTTCAGCAACCCATCCTTGGCGTAAAAGGGTGACTGCGCTTGTCGTAAAAGGCGACTACCGGGATCGGGTGGTCAGACTCGCTGACTTGGTTGATGTAAGTCGTCGTATCCCAATTGCGTGGATCGATGCTCATGATGTCAATCACTGGATTGTCTGGTCAAGACTCATATATTTACAGACCGCCGCCATATAGCTGGAATATTGCTGAGTGCGGCATAAAACAACAAACCAAACCAAACCAAACCAAACCAAAAGCTTTTCTCACGCACAAAGTTGACAAAGCAGCGTTAATCACAACTCACGTACTCAATTATAAATAATTGAAGCGTATGTAAATAGCTACGGGATATTAATACAATAAAAGACACTTGCCATGTTACTGACAATCCCTTGCTTAACGTTAATCAATATAAATATATCAAACATGTTTCGACATGTTTTAATGACACCAAAGTCAATAGCAAAGATTTCATCAGCTTTATGATCGTGAATACGTCGTTGCCTGCCGCATGTGTGTATTGGATTTTAAAACAAGCGTCGGCATTATGTCAGCCATATCGCGACGAGACCAAGTTAATATGTTGACAATTGAGTCATTTATGCAAAGTTATATTTCTAAACAATTGATGAAACATATTTGAGCATAACAATATCATGTATACATTTTTAAAACACAGGCTATCGGCCACCAGTAACCAATTGAAAGCGAGGCCACCTCGCTGGGGATCATGGGGACGTCATACTTCCCGCATGATACCCGGGCGAGCAGGATTTACGTCATCACTTTAGGTACTGGTGGTTGTGCAGAATACTAGCCAATGATAAAAAAAATACGCAGCAATGAGTTGGCTTAAAAACACTGGTTGATGATAGTTACATCGAATATGATAGGATTACGTGTCACACAGGGAGACAATAATTTTACGCAACGTTAACCTCCTGGTTTGGTTTGCTGTTTAACGCACTCTGCAATATTCCAGCTATATGACCGCCGACAGTAAGTATGATGCGAGGCTGACCACCGATCCCGTTAGTCGACTCTTACGACAAGCACAGTCGCCTTTTACGGCAAGCATGGGTTACTGAAGACCTATTCTACCCCGGATCTTCACGGTCGTACGTATATTGGAATTATGAGATAGACACCACCCAACTGGGTAACATATCTTAGGGTTTGCTCTTTCGATATGGATTTGAAATCGTATCTTTTTCTTAAGAGGTGGGAGATGAAAGATCTTCATTAATGTATTCAAACAAATTTTGAACGATTGCTTTTGGCAGGATTGTCAAGGTATACTTGATACATCAAAATCATTAGAATTGTATTCTTCTTTCAAATCTTTGCTTGAGTGTGAATTATACTTGGTAAATATAAATAACCTGAGGGATTAGAGTGAATTTCTATCGGAGTCCGAATACAGAAATTTCCCTGAGGTCTTAGTGATGTAAACGATTTCGAAGTCATGTTGGTTGGTTGGTTGGTTTGTTGGTTAACGCCACACTCAGCAATATTCCAAGTTTATGACGGCGGTCTGTAAATAATCGAGTCTGGACCAGACAATCTAGTGATTGAAATCATGATCATCGATCCTCGCAATTGGGATCGACGACATGATGCATCAAACCATGGCAGCGAGCCTGACCACCCGGTCCCGTTAGTCGCCTTTTACGAAAAGCATAGTCGCCTTTTACGGTAAGCATGGGTTGCTGGAGACCTACTGAGATTGATATTCACATCTAATAAGATGCAAATCATGTCTGAAATATCAAAATACATTTACACTGTATTCCATTCTAGAGGAGACATGCACAAGCTTTATATCCCTCAGTATTAATTTATCCAGGTTAAATTTGTTACTAATCATAATCTCTTTTTATGAATCATCATTTAGGTCACCAAATTTCACTATACCTCATAATAATCAAATTGAGGCTTGTTTGAACAACCCACGTACTTGTGGTCTGCCAGGTACGTCCTGGTCAACGGCACATACAGTCCCTGCAATTGATGGACATGCACGTCACATGACTGTCCTCTATAAAGACATTTGCTTGGAGCCCAGCACATGGCATATTACAATATTCCAAATTTGTTTTCCAAATTAAGTAAGCTATCCTTAAAAGCCCCACCTAGGTTGCCTCACCTTTTCGGACATACCCTTTTCGACCAAACACCAAATGTCTTGTCGGGCCCGTGCGCGAAATACGCATATGTCGGAAAGCGCACGTTAAATTCCTAATTTAAGCAAGTACAGTAAAGTACGGTTATAACTCAAAGGGACTACTAATTTTAGTTCGTTATAACCGTAGTTCGTTATAAGCATATATACAGCCTAACTTCAGCAAATAGTCGGGACCAAAAAGGTAAGTTCGTTATATCCGTCAGTTCGTTATAAGCGTGTTCGTTATAATCGTAGTTTACTGTAGTCCAGCACACACCGTGCCGAACCACCAAGAAGCCATTTTGTCATCTAATTTGTCACACCCACAGGACTCCTCTTCACACCTAATAAACAATCAGCTCAGTGCACGAAAAGATTTGTTGTTCTGCGACAAAATAATCACATTTTTTATCAAATATCTACAACGCCTTACCAATGTCAAATATGTATATTGCCTGAATATATATGCACTACAGTTCGCTTGGCTCGAAAGCAAATTAACTTGATTTGACTTGTCTATTTCAATTACCAACAAGTCGCATAAAATTTTCAGAAAATTGTGACAAATAGACCTCGGCGGCCGCCGTGCAGTGAAACATATCCTTACCATCGTTTGACACAGCACCATCTGCACGTGACCTTTCGTGTTTCCATCCGGCAATCTGACCTTCAACGCGCGTTTTGAAATTTCGGCCAATCTCTAGAAAACGCAGCAAACAGCAGATAAGTATAAATCCTAAAACCAGCGTCTTGAAATGCTTCTTGATGACCGCAAAACACATCATCCTACCCATTTGTCTAGTTGGTCCGCCCAGCCTGGTATATGTTCGTCTATCTGGTCAAGATGGTCTGCACAGCTGAAATTACTGTCTATGTGATCAAACCAGTCCGCACAGCGATGAATAAATAGGTCTCTCTGATCAGGGCAGTACACACAATGTTGAGTGAGTTTGATCGGGACGAGTCTGAAGCTTAGTATAACTTAAAATCGATGTCAACAGATGTGGGGAATGTTTTCAGCAAAGACCAAAAACAACTAAATACCGTTAGGATCAATTACATGTATGTTACGTTTTAGGCTACGCCCATAATGTTCGTTCGTTTGTTGTTTAACGCCGCACTCAGCAATATTCCAGCTATGACGGCGGTCTTTGAAATCTGGATCGAGTCTGGATCAGACAATCCAGTGATGGACATCATGAGCATCGATCCACGCAATTCCGACACGATGACATGCATCAACCAAGTCAGCGAGCCTGACCACCCGATCCCGTTAGTCGCCTCTTACGACAAGCACAGTCGCCTTTATTTCAAGCATGGGTTGCCGAAGACCTATTCTACCCCGGATCTTCCCGGGTCGCCCATAATGTGGACAGATGCTGTACGCGCCAGTATAAGTATTATAGTATATTGGTTTTTTTTCCATATGTGTTATAATACGCATGGCAGTACATCAGGTATAATATTTTGTGAATATGTACTTAATGTCCACAGGCCGGTGAAGATCCGGGGTAGAATAGGTCTTCAGCAACCCATGACAATCCAGTAATTGACATCATGAGCATCGATACACGCAATTGGGACCGATGACATGCATCAACCAAGTCAGCGAGTCTGACCACCCGATATTGTTAGTCGCCTTTTACGATCAGCATAGTCGCCTTTTACGCGAGCAGGGGTTGCTGAAGACCTATATTCCGGATTTTCACGGGTCAGAGCATTGTTTAAGCTCGTTGCTGTTGTAAATGGCCATTGGCAGTTACTGTATTTAAGAGTTTATTTATGTGTCACGCGTACTGTCGCCTCTTACGACAAGCACAGTCGCCTTTTACGGCAAGCAGGGGTTGCTGAAAACCTATTATACCCCGGATCTTCACGGGTCCGGTACCAGGAATATACAGATGTGTCCTTATGATGCTCCTTCGCATCAGTAAATCAAACAGATATTAACATTGTGAATCTTAATAGTTAAAAAAAATATAATGAATAGGAGCCCAGAGATTTTCTTCATTTTCAGACCTGCAGAAATCTAGACTTGCCAAACATAATAGACTTGCGTGGGCTGTATTGGATATATTTGTTTCAGGGTCTGTATGACAGACTACACGGACATGACATTTCAGTACAGTGCGTTATTTGTTTATGGTGATGTTTAAACTGCCGATTGTGCCGTTGTGAAAGACGGGCATACATGTTGTTTGTGTGTATTGTAGAGACACTTGGTTACACTGAAACATACGGTCAATATCAACAGTGACGACTGGAGTCTCGCAGGATGCCGGCTGTCTAGGCCCAGATAGTGGTGGCCGGCGCAGGCAATGCAGGGCATGTCATAATGGAGGGCAACGACTGTGGGACAGGGGAAACTGAGTCCTTTGTTATTGTGGCAGTCAGGGTGCGGCCCGAAATATCGAGATTATTAATGACCGAATGTGTCCTAATAAAGTAAAAGCAGACCATTCCGGCGATAACAAATATTCTTACACTAATGTCAAAAATGCAATGCTCATCAGCTGCAGTAAGTCAATTTGCCCGTGAACGTGACAAGAGACTGGGCTACCGTTAGTACGGACAGCGGAAATAAACTTCGAGGCAATATCTATTGATTATCCGTGATCTATGAAGACTGCGATGTTACAAAGGGCGAATGGGAATTAATTTCTTCAACCTATGCAAACAGACAAAACGAACGGCGGAAGCTGAGAATGCCGTTATTTGGAAAAAACCTCAAGATTAATGTTTGATAAAAAGTTTGTATTTAACGTTTTCTCGCAGAGAAAGCATGTTCGGGTGTCTGATTGAGTTGATGATAAGGTGACTGAGATTGATTTGGACCCCATTTCTGTTTTTTTTTATAGATTGATATTTAATCATGTCATGTAATAATGTTATGTCAATAGACTTTTGATATTAAAAGTAAACTTTGGATTTATTTGAGGCCGTACATAAAACTTCATTTTGCCAATGCATGGTTATTGTATACCATCGACTATCCAATGACAGCTATACAAAAAGATGAAGTCATCGAAATCTCATCATACCACAAACGTTTTTTGAGTACAATTGGCATTATGACAGATGGCTAAACTCAAACTGAATCTCTCAATTGAACCTTAGTCCAACTTGTAAAACGCAAAATAAAAAATAGCCCGTCAACAGCAAAAGCCTGATACCAAAATTATGAAACATTCTTTGAGTTATGCTCTGGAAACGATACTACCCTCGTTTGAAGTCCACCATGTAGCCATGGAAGCGCATTGTTTTAAGTTCCCGAATAGCACACGGAAGCAGCGTATGCCTAACGTATAAACAACGTTGCATGTGAAATATTGAATAGTTTATGAGTAATATTCCAGGCACGACGTTTCTACATCCCCCGCAAACTTTTATTTGGCGGGGTATAATAAAAACAATTCATTAAAGTAAATGTGTTTGTATAATTATGTACTTGTTATTTCTGTAACAATGAAGTTCAGTTCACATACTCAAAACACAAACGACCTTTATTTTTCAGGCTAAAGTACATATAATACAACAATTACCACGCCATTGTTGTCATCCATATTTCATGGTATAACCCTTCAGCTGTGTATTTGTCGCCACTCACTTGATGTTCAGTTAATGACTTTATCACAGGTACAGTTAGTGGTGGATGCAAATGCAAATTAAGTCAATAACGTTCACCTCTGCCCCTGAGTGTTAGGGATAAACACTAATCGGTGTCTGGGGTAGGAACATCTTACTTTGTTCAAAGGATTAACCGATCAAGATTGCTTATTGTAATCTAAATCAAAGGAATTTTTAAAGAACCTTGGGCGTCATGAACATAAAGTAGCAGTAGTAGTAGTAGTAGTAGGAGGAGGAGGAGTAGTAGTAGTAGTCGTAGTAGTAAGACAAGTTCTATGGATGAACAACTTCTTTATTACAATTAGTGCGACGTTTCGGTGTAGATCCAAACACCTTTATCAAGCAAGTAATGTTAGGATCTACACCGAGACGTCGCACTAATTGTAATAAAGAAGTTGTTCATCCATAGAACATGTCTTACTTCATCACACCAACTTCTAAATGCCACTGAAAGAAGTAATGAACATGGTCACGTGTGCTGTGTCAGCTGACCAATGAGACACCTATGTGAAACACCTGAAACAAACTTACATGATCATTTGAGAGACGAACAGGAGTTACAGTATTCCAATATTAATATATATAACATATATAAATGGATGTTACAAGGACGCGTGACATCGAACAAGTTTAATCTTTGTTCAGCTTCATTTATGTGGATATTGATGGATACATTCCTCGAACACGGCATCTGCTAAATATTCTACATATAACTTTTGTCGGTTGTAAATATATTTTCATCAACGATGACTGGTCAAATTGTTCTATACGTAATACATATCTGGCAATAGCAGTCAGCTGTAGCAAAGTGCTACGCTTATATGGTGATAGTTATTTTAAATAAACATAGTAAAAGCTGCACCTCAACTTACTCAATATTGGAATATTTAATTTCTGAACAAAAATAGTTTCAGATACAATTCATCCAATTGCATCAAATTCCTTGTAGTTATAGTATTGGGTATTCTTTATGCGAATCCCCGTAGATTGGTTGAGAATGTGCGTACGGCAGATTGCTTTTCCGGTGTCACGAAATATATTCGCCCCCAGAATAAAATCCTCCCCCGGCGAATTTATACCGGTACAGTTCCGCCCCTCTCGAAATAAACTCTCCCCCACCCTACGAAATAAAATCTCCCCCCCCAAGAATATTTCCTCCCCCGGTCGTTTTATAAATACTTGCCATGCAGTTGCCAATAGTTTTAATGTTAATTTGTTTATGTGTTTTTTTATTCATTTTTTTTTATCTCCTTTATTTTTTTCTGAATTATACATTTAGTTACTTGTGTGGGGTGTGGGGTGTGTGGTGGGGGGTGGGGGGTGTCCCACCTTTCCTTTCGTTTTTCATAATAATATATTTTTAAGTTGTATATAACGTATGAATCCCTTCTCAGATTACTTTATCTCAGTTCTATATGACGTACTATTTTACTTCTCTGTGTCGTTCTTGTTTTCTCTTCAGTGTGAGGTTATACTGTATCATTTTTACTATTTTGATATTTTGCAATATGTTGTGGTCATCAGTTATGCAAATCAGTTTCGGTGTGTCTTTTTAACAAGATGTTCTTCATTAATATTCACCGCCAGCCCCATTGTAACAATTACATGTACACTTTGCTTTGACGATGCCGGTTGATGTTGTTCAATACAGGCGTTTTTGAATCTATTCTACATGCTAATCATTTCGGGAAGATGATACACATTTATCTATATTTTGGGTTACTTTGCTTATAAAGATTATACATGTAAACGTACGCAGTCTTAGTAGATTTTAAAGTAGATTTAATCAGTGTTGAATTAGATAGTTATGATGTTGTATGTTTAACAGAAACCTGGTTGCACCATGATATTCTAGCCCCTAGTATTACACTGATACCATTTTCAAATCGTAGCCTGTATTAAGGAATATATTTTAGATCTTTAATCAGAGTATAACGGCGTGGATATGTTGACAGTTTTTACGTAGTTAGTGTTAAAACCGAATGTTTGCGAGGATTAATAAGATCTCTGAAATCAGTTACATCAGTAGTTCCGGTGTCACGAAATAAAATCTCGTAGGGATTTTTATAAATACTTGTGTTTGGCTTGTGTTGGGTCCGAAAGTTTATATCTAACATTTTGGAATTGAAGACAGTGATAAAGTCTTATATCAATATGTGGACTCATAAATATTGGTTTTATGTTTTAACGGAGATATGATATTTTCTTATGAAATATCGCGTCATAGAGTAATTTGCATGCTTTACCATTCATTGTACCATTCTAAACCATGTGAATGTTGTATGTCAGTCAA